CCTCCTCCTCCTCCTCCTCCAACTGCTACTCTTCCTCCTCCTCCTCCTCATCCTCCTCCTCCTCTTTCTCCCCCTCCTTCTCCGCTTTGTCCTCCTCCTCTAACATGCTACAACCACCACATCTACAGCAACGAAAACTTTAGAACAAAGTCACGCTGGGAATCCCTTACCGTGAGGCTTGAGTCCCGGCCAAGAACGACTTGTCGCTTTCCTGCTTGTCACAGATGTCTTTTACCATAGTTCAGTGCTTGTCAACTTTATTTTTTTTTCTAGCCGACGCCCACTTTTGCCACTTTTAAAATGTTAACATTTTCGTACGGTCCATCTACTTATTTTATTTATAAGCGGCGCATAAGATAATTCATGTCATTGTCTTGTAGTCTGGCTGGCTGTTGGCACCACTGTAGATTTTGCAACCAGCTTCGCCCATTAATTTTTCACTGTATGGTTCTCACTTCTCAGCCTAGCCTTCTGTAGTGTGATGTTCCAGTCACTTCCAATGTATCCTTTGAGGCTGTCTTCTCATCGTTCCCTCTGTTTGTCACTAGATGCTCTCATAGCTTGCATAGACACACACGAACTTGATTACTTTTCCGAAGTTTGGCAAAAATAATTAACATTTAATTAGGTCATTAGATGACACCAAAATAACGTGCCAAACCGACGAAACTGGTTGTATTATGCCTACAGACTACGTTGATAACAATAGCAGCAATAACAACATCTACAACAACAGCAACAACAACAGCAACAACAACAGCAACTAGATCTACAAAAAAAATTTAAAATTTAGAAGACATAATATCGCCAACGCATTTCACAAGCCCCTTAACGTTGTTGTTTGTTTTTGGGGGTTTTTTTTAGTTAAAACCTAAGAAAGAAAGTTAGAAAGGAACAGAACGAAAATATTGTGTAATTCGTCCCTTGATATATTATTCATCCGTACGTCGTGTTTTACTATCGTATCCATACGACGTGGGGAACTCTATGCTACCACTTTCCAAAGATGAAATTTTCTCCTTAATCCGATCCGAATCCTTTGCATAGCAGTGTGTCAAAATTATTTTTTGAGAAATACTGAAAGTTTCAAAGAGATCTACGCACTAGAAGTATTCTAGGGTAAATCTGGAAACCCTCAGAAATTGATGTCGGCGAATGTGGAATGACGCCGTTCCAAACATCTTGGCCGGCAATTTAGGTCCCTGGGAAGTTGTAAACATCTTTTAAAAAATTATTTTAGAAAACAACACGCCATCACTTTCTGGATGGTTGCACCTGCTCTGGTATGGTTTGCTCCGTCTTTCCTATCTGACATCTATCTTCTTTATCTGTCTTCCTTTTTGTGTTTGATACTCTCTTGTAACGCCTTCAATCTTTGGCGCTTAAATGATCGCGTTATGTTGCAAGTGCCTTTTTAAAAAACCTTTACTGAAACAAAAGAAAAAACATCTCGATTTTTTCCTTTACTTCTTGTCTCTTTAAACTAAATCTTTCTTTTGCAGGCCTAGCTCACAGTTGCATCTTTCTTAAAAATGTTTTTTAATTATGTTTTCTGTTGTTGTTGTTGTGGTTGTTTTTTCACCTGATACCCTCAGGTAGTCTTTTATAATTTGGCGTTTTTATCACATGCAATGATATCATTTGGCAGCAGGGAGTAAATTTGTGATCTTTTACAGTTTGTCTCTATTTCATGGCGGTGCCACTGACTGAAGTGTCTTTAGGCCATTCCCAAAGGGGGACATATCTCTATCAAGCATAGTAGAATTGTAAATGGGCTGATTCATGTCACGCTCATAACTGTGCTTGATCTACAACAGGGAACTGCTGCTTTTTCTTTCCTTACTATTGTCATTTTCCTCTACTTCTTTTGTATGTTTGTCACTCCCTTGTGACCTGCTATTTTGGGGTGCCTTGATAATCGAAGCAGACCTTGTGCTGTTGAAGCTAGAGAGGTGAGCAGTCTAAGTCTGATTCCCTGTAAAGACTTCTCTGTTGACACCCACCCCTTGGCGCCCATATGACCTTATGCAGTTGCGGCGAGCGCCGTAAAACCCTCTACTATAAAAAAAAAAAAAAAAGCAATTCCTGGGGGCTCTCGTGGTCTGGAGGAACTGTGTTCGCCTCTTATTCAATAGGTCCCGGGTTTGAAACCTGACAGCAACGGAAAGTTTGCTTCTCTATTTTTTGTTTCAACGTTCTTGCTCTCTAATCATACCCTGCCGTCTGGTTTCGTCTGCCCCTCTCCCCCCCCCCCCCCCATCCTCCGCTTTGCCCCCTCCTCTGGGCTCCCGGCTCTATCTACTGCATTTCTACTGCTGCCTCCATGGCTCCTTCTTACTGCTGTCTGTCAGCCACAGCCCTGTCTTTAGGGTAGTTGAGATTCAACACCTAGCCTCCTCGGATTAGAGCAAAAAATCTCGGAGGTCCCGTACAAGTTGCGCTCGTTAAAGATCCCTTGGTGGATCTAATTCTAACATCGATTTATAAGAGTAGGCTTCGGCCGCCACCAGGGTAGAATGCGAAATAAATTCCTACCAAACTGATTATCTTTAATGTGTCCCGCGCACTCATATAATAATATGACCTTATGCAGTTGCGAGCGTCGTGAAACATTCACCAAAAAAAAAAGGCAAAACAACCCAAAACAAAACTTTTAAAAAAAAGAACAATCTAGTTTTCTAATCTAGGCGTAGTTCACAATTAATTCTGCTCCATACGAGGATAATAATTTTTTTTTGTGGTTTGTTTTGTTTGTTCTTTTTTTGCATCTGATACCTTCAAGTACTCTTTTATCGTATCGTTTTGAGTTTTTGTCTCACAGTTGCAGTGCAGCATTTAAGGTCAATAAGTAAACTCGTGATATTGTACGACCTGTCTCTACTTTATACCTTTAAATTTAAACAAAGTATTTCTTCTTATGTAAGCGTAGTTCTCATTTACATCTTTTCTGTACATGCATTGGCGAAAGGGGGGGGTGCATCTGAATTCTTCTAGATTTTATCGTTTGGCGTTTTTGTCCCGCTGTCACACCATTTAGCGACAAAGAGTCAACTCA